TATGTCTCCGGTCCTGTTCATAACTTTTATGGACAGGATTTCTAGGCGCAGCCAAGGTGTTGAGGGTGTCAGTCTTGATGGCCTTAGGATCGCGTCTCTGCTCTTTACAGATTATGCGGTCCTGTTGGCTTCATCAAGTCGGGACCTACAGCTCTCGCTGGAGCGGTTCGCAGCCGAGTGCGAAGCGGCTGGGATGAGGATCAGTACCTCCAAGTCCAAGACCATGGTCTCTCACCGGAAAAGGGTAGAGTGCCTTCTCCAGGTCTGAGCGGACGTCCTTCCCCAAGTGGAGGAGTTCAAGTATCTCGGGGTCTTGTTTGCGAACGGGGGTAGGGAGCGTGAGATCGATAGGCGGATCGGTGGGCGTCTGCAGTAATGTGGGCGCTGTACCGGTCTGTCGTGATGAAGAGAGAGCTGAGCCTAAAGGCGAAGCTCTCAATTTATCGGTCGATCTACGTCCCCACCCTCGTCTATGGTCACGAGCTTTGGGTGGTGACTGAAAGAACGAGATCCCGGATACAAGCGGCCAAAATGAGTTTCCTCCGCAGGGTGGCTGGGCTCTCCCTTAGAGATAGGGTGAGAAGCTCGGCCATCCGGGAGGGGCTCAGAGTAGAGCCGCTGCTCCTCCACGTGGAGAGGAGCCAGTTGAGGTGGCTCGGGCATCTGATCAGGATGCCTCCTGGTCGCCTCCCTGGGGAGGTGTTCCGGGCTCGTCCCACCGGGAGAAGGCCCAGAGGAAGACCCAGGAAACGCTGGAGGGACTATGTGTCCCGGCTGGCCTGGGATCGCCTCGGGATCCCCCCGGAGGAGCTGGCCGAAGTGGCCGGGGAGAGGGAAGTCTGGGTCTCCCTGCTTCAGCTGCTGCCCCCGCGACCCGACCCCGGATAAGCGGAGGATAATGGATGGATGGATTGATGAATGGATCATTTAGATTAGATTGGTTTAGCTTGGATTAGACTAGATTAAATTATATAGGATTAGTTTTCATTACTGTAGTTTGGATTACTTTATATTAGATTGCATCCTGGCCTGTTTGGCTGGGATGCAGCTTCTGGCCAGCAGAGGGCAGCCTCTGACGTCTGACCCGGTCCAGGCCTCCTCAGACCAACCCCCCCCCACCACACACACACGCGCACAACCACCAGTCACCAGCAACTGTGTGTCCAGGTTCCAGGTTAGTTTCTGAGTATTATTATTATATGCATACATATCATTATAAATCATCAGTATTGTATTTATGAGTTGACTCTGATTCATCCACTCCTCAGCTGACCGTCTGCGAATGAGCGCTGCCAGCCCGTCGCCATGACGACGAGGCCCAGAGATGCTGCTTGGAGTGGCGGGCGCCATGGCAACAGCCGCGCGAAGCGGCGGCGAGGTGCGAGCGGCGGGCGTGACGCGCGGAGCGCTGTCAGTCTGGTTGTCATGGCGACGGACGGCTGAGGCGCCTGGTCTGTTCTGCGTGGTTGGCGTGGAGTCAGGAGTCAGGAGGCGGCTTTTTATCTTTTCAGAACAGTTTCCGGCCCAAAAGGCACCGAACCGGAACACGACGAACGTGAAGGAGCAGGACACCAGACACAGCTGGAACAGGCGCTCAGTCTTTATTTGAATACACTCTGCACGTCACCAGAGGAAGGTAAAACAGAGGGTCGGCGCCCCCAGCTGGTCCAGAGCGGGTCCAAAGTGTGGCCATGAGCCCCACAAGGGACGAGAAACACGGGACCCACTGTGGGCGAAAGGTGCTTTTACAGAAAGAAAACAACATGTTGGCTGAAGGTCGGCAGCACTTTAAGTTAGAGTCAAGAAATCACAGGTGTCGTACACATATTTCCCTTTTTCAGAATTATCTTTGGTTTTCAGTTCTGGCCTCAGAAGTTGTGTCATTCTGATTAGACCAACGGGACTCAAGTACATCTCGCTGCAGCCAAGGATGGATATCCAACTCCGCCCACATCCAAGTCGGCCATTTTGATTAGGACACCAATAGGAAGGTCCCAGGCAAGAAAATGGTAATATAGACATTAATATAGACATTAATTTAAAAATAGTGAAATGAATCTTGCAAACACTGAATTAAACTCTATCCATAATATTATGTTAAAATAGTGGATGTTAAATAAGTCCAAACAAATTTGACCAAAAAATATTTAGTTCTCACAATTATGAAGGGTGGCCGGTTAGGATTAGGATTACGGTTAGGTTAAGGGTTAGGTTTAGGTTTAGGGTTAGGGTTAGGACATCGTTTGTCTTCCGATTTCGTATAGATAGTAAAGTTTCGTTTCCACCTGAGAAAGCTGCTTGTCAATCAAAATGGCCGACTTGGATGTGGGAGGAGTTGGATATACAACCGAGGCTACTCACGGGACTGGCTGCTGGTTAGCTTGTCACAGGTTAGCTTAGTTAGCACAGGTTTGCTATATAGAGCTAGTCACAGGGTTAGCATCTTTTTCTGACCTTTTTTGTGCAAAAACAAAATATTTAAGAAGAATATGGGTTGAGATGTTGGGGGGGGGGGTTCTGAAAAAATAGTTGTTTTAGCATGCTAAATTTAGCCAACAGCAATAGTTTCAAACAGCTCACCGTCTGGGGACTAGCTGGTGGTTAGCCTGTCACAGGTTAGCTTAGCGCAGGTTAGCTATGTAAGCTGGTCACAGGTTTAGCATCTTTTTCTGACCTTTTTTGTGCAAAAAAAAATATTTCAAAATATGGGTTGAGTTGTTGGGAGGGCCTCTTAAAAATGATTGTGTTAGCATGCTAAGTTTAGAACACAGTTATAGTTGCTAACAGTTGACCGTCTGGGGACTAGCTAGTGGTTAGCCTGTTATCTTAGCACAGATTAGCTATGTAAGATGGTCACAGGTTTAGCATCTTTTTCTGAACTATTTTTGTTAAAAAATAAAGATAAAAAAACATGAGATGGGATAGGGCTGTTAATCGCTTGTTCTGTGCTGATCCGGTGTTAGCATGCTAAGTCTAGACCACAGCAATAGTTGCTAACAGTTGCTAACATGTATGCACTGACCACTAACAAAGCAAAATGTCAGTGAGAAGCAAATCTACTCAAGGCAAAAGAAACCAGAAAATATATCAAATCTACCATGTTAATAAAATATACTTTTACGTCAGCGATAATTGTCCACATATAAAAGTTCCTAATCACTACTGACAAGTTGGTATCAAACTCTAATTTCCCTTTACTGGATGATCACACTCACACACAAACACACACATCTTTTTAAAATAAATCCTCCAATCTTCTTTCAACTCTGTAATCTATTCTAATTTGTTTCTAATCTCCAGACAAAATATGAAAATAAATTAACGTTTCTTATATTCAACACAATTGCATTGAACTGTTTCATTATATGACACAATATAACATCATAACATTTAACCCTGATTCCCATTTCTGACAGTATTCCCGCCCTCTACCCCTTTAAAAGGTGCCTGGAATGAGCCAGATGTTCAGGGTTTTCTCTCCACTCTCCACCAGTTCTCTGACTGAAGAGCTTAAATGTCACCACTGATGTTCTGACAGCTGGATAAAAGCCTCATTCCATCTTCTAAAGATTTGAAAGTGCTTTTGTTTGGTTCGTTTTGTTGCTAGTATTTGTAATTCTGTTTTAGGCTCTTTGTCAGCACCTCAGATGTCAGCATGACAGCCTCATTTGTGTGGGAAAGGAGAATATCCTGGGAGTTTCATGCCTTTACCCTCATTGATTGACACCACTCTAATAGTGTGTGAGACGACCTCTCGTCTCACACACTAGGATAGTGAGAGAAAACCAGGAGAAACAGCTGAACCGGTTCATAGCTCCAGGTCCTTCTGTGGGGTTTAGACGATACAGAAATGACCTTCCACTGTGTGCAAATGAGCCCGATGTGGGTCTGGGAGGCCAGAGAGCGGCTCCAGCTGGTTGACTGATTGTCCATAGCGACCCCGTCGCTGGGGTTTGTTTCTGTGGTCTGGCCGTGTGCACATCAGCCCGTTTAAATCCCATCAGGACCCACTTTTATGAGCATGACCACCATGGTCAGCTCACATGGGACCAATCGAGAAAACTGACGATCATTAGAGTTTTACCAAAACCAAACCGCACTGCTTTACTTTTCTTTAACACAGACTGTGTCCCAATCTCACAGATAAAAAGGGAATTTGCACTGACAGAACTCCACATGATGATGCAAGAGATGAAACATTCAACAACCTAAATGTGTCCTTAATGACTAAACTGGTTGTGGAGTAAAAACAAACAGCATTTCATTACACAAACCACCACAAAGCTCCTCCAAACTCATAAAGTCGTTGGTGACTCCTTAGTTTCCTATAAACACTCAAATTACCAAGAAAAATGTCGAGTAGAACAACAGAAGTTTTTTGTGGATCAGATTTAAGTGCTTGAAGACGGGCAAATCCATTTCTGTTTTTATGTCCTTATTCACTTGTTGTAAGTTAAGTTTTCCTCCACTTTGTCTGAATTGGAGTCCTTCTCCTGGCCATGTTTCTGCTATCTGCCCCAGCAGGGACTGGACTTACTGAAGGTGGAGATCAAGTAGATAAAAACGTGGGTGATGTGTGTGACTCATGAACAGAAGATGTGGGGCTGATGCTCCCTGATTGAATTAGCTTAGCTAGCTGGCTGGTTAGCAATCAGCTGCAATATAAAAGCTTTAACAGATGATTGTTAGCTATTAGTATTGCATTTAAAGTATTGTTACGGCAATACACTAGTTGAGGGAATAAACTGCTAAAAGGTACAAACATTTTGGCAAAACAAGGCAAACGTCTTGTTAACTAGGTTAGCTCAACATTTGTGAGCTAGCCAATGAGTATCTTATGTGGGCATTATGTACGGATTCTGTATTACAGACTTGCAAGCTGTTGTATGAATTCGGATTTCAGGGCTGACACATTTGTGCTTATTTTCCAAATATTAACGTAACTTAAACTGTGTTTCTGAGAGCAACAATGGGTGTC